AACTGCGTTAAGACCTCGCGTGTGTCGCGCGTGGAAGCCGGCTTTGCCTCTGCTTCGTGATTCTCGGCATGACTAGCAGACGAGACTTGGCTAACATTGACCGCAATATTTTCCCCAGCTGATGCCCGTTTCGTTGTTGTCATGCTGCTGGTGAACTGAGGGCCTTTTATTTGCAAAGACTGGATAAATTTTTCGTCTAATTCCGCGAGGTTTTTTCTCTTAGGGTCAGGTGTTCGTGGCATTGGCGCGTCAGCCAGTCGTTTGGCCATCATTGATCCTGACATGTCTAACACATGAGCTGGTAAAGATATCCTCCTCATTTTCCGCGTTTCTTTAGTCTGTTGATTAGCCGCCTCGTGCTCTTTTTCTTTAGAACCATTCTTGTGGAAAATATGGAACTTGCTCTCGGCGTAATGAGCAAAATTATTCCCATTTCCACTGGGAGGAGGAAACGATTTAGTAGGCGCCGAGTTAATACGCATTATCCTATGCTTTCCCGCCCCGCTTACTCTTCGTACGCGCGATGAGCTGTGCGAGGCTTTTCTGCTTGGTTTTAGAAGCCACTGAGGGAGTGAGATACGCTTAAATCGCCTCGCTTTGTGCTCCACGGTACCTCCAGCCACACTGGACTCTTTTTTGCTATCGTTTGCTTCGACAACAGCGGTCACTTTGTTAGGTAGAAGTCCGGTTGGATCACCGCAGCTTTTATAGCGAATATTCTCCACGCTACTTTTGTCCTCTGTAAAACTGCACGAGGCGATAGTTACCACTTGCGATTTAAACACTTCAATCTCAAAGCCTTCCCCGTCCGACTCAGCGTCAGCGTTTTCCGTACTCATCACTGCTTCGCTACGAACGTTCGACATGATTTCTGCTTCGAGGGGCGTGTGTCGAGTGCAGAGGTAAACTCGGCTCATGTTTTGGATTTCGTGTTTCTTGAGCTGTTATCACACTACCGAATATCCGCTTATCTCACCGCGCGTTTTATCTTCACTTCAGGTAGGTTGCATTCTCATACAAGCAAGTCATTAATGAAATCACTTGAATCTTACAAGGGGTGAAAGATGCCTTAAGAGGCGGTTTTCAGTGTTTCATCTGGTAGGGCATCAATTGAAAGTACTGTCGATTTATTCTAACAACAAATCTGTGTGTGGCACGCAGTCTATACGTGCTATTTAAAGCTCATCAGGAATTGTTTTAGCGAATATATTACATATTTGAAGCCTATAAGAAGCTTGACCCCCACGACCTGGGCATTTTTATGGCCTTCGAGGATTGGGGTATCAATTTCCTATACATAAACGTCTCCGGTGTGCAATTAGTGACTGAAATCGGCGATGCTGTACAGTTCAAACCCCTTAATTAATAAGGACATCAAAAGGGACAGACCCAAATGCCCGCGTACAAAGCTTTCCGTAATTACAATATAAGTAGAAACACACTGTAGATCAATTTAGTGTCCTCGTGGCCAAAATGATCTACTCCCGGACCGGGAAGCTATCAAAGAGAGGTGTCAGTCAGGGGGGAGGCACTCCCTTACTTGGCCTACACGGGTAGGGTATTTGTCTCCCTACATGTCTATGGTTTTGCGGTCAGTAAACAGGATGTAATTGAATATAATCTCTTCGAGACACGTAATCAACAGGCTAAGAAACGCAAAAAATGGGGAATTCCTACCAGCTCACGTTTAAGATAAGTCAGGAAACGTGACCCAGAAATCCAGCAATGGAAGTAGCTTGTAGGTTCATACCTCCTTTAGTGAAAAACTCAAATTCAGTCAGAAAGCACCGCCCATAATTTGTAATAAATCAGCTAATTTATTGAACAACAACAAATGAATACCGCCAACTTGCGGCCCAAGGGGCTGATATCGCTTATTTACACAGACCTTACAGTATGTTATTCAGTCATTAAAGCACAATCTTCTTAATAAAAAATACTACAGACACAAAAGGAACTATTAAGATTGGTTCTTATTACTTTTATCTTAAGGGTGCGGACGTAATGCTATAATTAGCCTCCCCGCAGACGTTCATTTCTCCCCTCCGTGGGGAAGAAATGAATGCGTGACGAACGAACCTCAAAGGACGTCTGCGGGAGGCTATGCTATAATACTCCCAGTCAAATAAACTCGTACTCGGCTTCTAGAGTACTTTCTTATCAGTGCTATTTGTCTTTTAGACTACGACACTATCATTATTCTTTCTTCATCAGGACTACGTGAGTATTCTCTCTTTACCTCAGTGATAGCAAAGCTGAACAAAACCAGGACGAGTAGAAGACCTAATGCGCGTGAAATCTGTCGCCTTCCGCGAGGAGAGGCGAGACACTGAGTAAGCAAGTAAAAGACGAGAGCGCGCGTGTAATCGCCTCCCGGAACTAGTCGCAGTGTATTTGTGTTTCCATATTTTACAAAATGTGACATGAAATTTTGGATGATTCGTGTTTTGAGATTGCCATTAGATTCAAATACTTCAAAAAGCAGTCAATTTTTCAGTTTAACCAAAGGCGGAAACGACAGGTTCGATAAAGCGTGCGTAAACAAGAATGGCGGCGCGTTTCATCCACTCTCGCGAGCGCCACTTATCACGCGCGCTCGATATTTTCTTACGCGCCTTGTCAAGCAGCTTAGGTTCGATAGTTCGTTTTACTGTCTTTATCGTGATTTTCGAAATCAAATGACCTTTACAGGGTACGTGCTTATTAGTTAACAGGCTAATTTTCTTGCTATTTCACCCCTTTTTTCCCTTTTACTATGGAGCCTGGTCACAGGCTATTAAAAGTGGAGCTATTGAGGCAAAAATATTTACATTAATAACAAAGTAGCAAAGAGAAAAAGTGACTTGAGGTTTCCCGATATTTTGGACGGACAAGCCGTCCTTGTTTAGGGGATTCAATGAAGAATCGGAAAGTCGTTACAAATAGTATAGACGGGTAGCAGTTGGAAATTTGATACAAAGTTAAGTTGAAAAACTAAAAGGTCCAATAATCAGAAACAGTCAATTTTTAGCGAAAACTAAACATGACAAACATGACTCAAGCATGCCGAGCTTGACTTAAGCTTGTATCGAGCTTTTCGGATTAACTCCCGTGAAATAATGCCGTATTTCCTAGGCTGGGGAGGCATTACGATAGCATAAAGCGATTGTAGGGGTTTTATCTGGATTTTGTTAGGGTGTGTCTTGCTCATGTAAGGTGACCTGGACGTTTTAAATTTTAAGAGTCCTAAGGGCGGACATTCCTTATAAGCTTTCATCAAAGAGAAAGGAATCGATCGAAAAGCCGGGAAGCGAGAAGATAATACTCCTTTCTCTTCCAAAATCTTTTATAAAGTAACGTTATCTAGTTCTAATAATATATAATGAGTAAATAATGATTTAGAGGTGGCATTTTCACTTAGTGGTTCTTTTTCTACTTGATTCCTGGTTGAATTGGAATTTGGAAATGTCGGTTTTTGAGGAGAGGGAAAATCCAGACTATCAGGAGAAAAACCTTTCGGAGCAAAGGAGAGAACCAACAACAAACTCAACCCACAGATGGCGTCGACGCCAGGATTTCAACCCGGGCCAGATTGGTGGGAGGCGAGTGCTCTCACCACTGCGCCACCAATGCTCCTCTTGGTTTCGCTTTATGCACTGAGGAAAAGAGGAGCCGCTCGACTATTTTGAGGCCTATGTTTATCCACACTGCTCTTGCTATGCGTCGACGCAAATCAAGTGGTCGACGATCGAAGCCAAAAAACTGGATAGGGAAGGGGCAACTCCCTGGGTGCCGCACCCCTAGTACAGTATGGCACGGTTGGGCCGACTTTTTCAGGATTTCAGAGCTATGCCTGCAAAAATCACCATACAAATTATCATGGTTATGTTAGCTGATGAAATTTGTTCGACATCTTCTTCATAATTCTAAAGGAGTACTTTGTGTACGAGTAAAGATACTAAGTAAAACTTTTATCACCGAATTGACCTCAAACAGTTATATCCTGGTGACATAATGCCCTTAAGGTTGCCTACCACACGCATTCCCTGGAGTGCAAAGAGAAAAGCTGGGTCCTAGTCGTAGAAGACTGCGAGCAGCCTCTCCCAGTTTCCCTCTTGGCCATTTCGCTCTCTCCAGTCCTGCCGAAGTTAGACTGACTGAAGATGGACTGCTCACAGTCTATATTCGTAGAGGGTCCCCAAAAGGGTTCTTCAATCCCGTCATCCCAACCCCAACTTCCGCGCAATCCCGTCATCCTGAGGGTTATTTTTGGCAATCCGCGTCTCGTGCGTACTTTCAATAGGGAGCTTACTTAAGCAACGACGTTTTTGAGTGATGCGGGTCAACCGGAAGTGGGCTTTTCTTTTTCATTTTTGGACAGCCTCACTTCCGGTTGACGTCTGTCGCTCAAAAACGCCTACCCCATTTTACTTTGAAATCCAGACTTCCGGCTTCAAATAAGGCTAATCCCGGACCCCGAAACCTATTGGAGACTCTCATTCGTATGATAAAGACGCGGGAAGATGGTGGGAAGTAAGGAGGACAGATCAATGAATGTCATGACGTCAAGAAAAAATGACTCAGTCAATCAAACAAAAATTCAAAACATAAGGATCCCGGGGAGAGGTACTCCTTAAAGTGACCTATCCGGGGGGCTCCGCCCGAAAGGGTTTTTTTTCTCAGGCTTGAGGGAAAGGAAAGGGTAGGTATTTCATTAGTTGAGGCCGTGTATGAAAGGGTAGGGACATATGTCATTTCGGTCTCTGAAAGGACCAAAAAGGGTAACAGATGCATTTTATGGATGTGAAAGAGACAACGAACTTCCTGGTTTGGTGATTTATTCATATTGAAAAGACGGTGCATTGACAGCAGTTAAAAGAGCATCAGCGTTCTAAACTAGGTATGTGAAAAGGGTACTTTTTGTCATTAGACTGGTATACGAAAAGGGTACCTCGTCTGTCACAAATGGTATATAATAGGGTAAGATGTTGGACCTCGGGCCTGAGCCTCCCCATATAAACCTTCGTTGGGTAGCCCCTCCTCGGGATTAACATGTCGCCCTTTAAGAGGTTGTTTCGTAGAATACTTCGACATCTGTTGGGGTAAATCGGTAGGTTCCAGCATAGAATTTACATGTGTCACCATAGCCAGCACCTGTGGGAAGGTTGTAGCTGAAGCCACAATGAGTACGAGAATACTTGTTGCTTGCAGCGTTGTTTGTTATCTCAAGGTCAGCGTTAAAGAATGGTCCGTGCGAAGCACATCTCTTTACAGGTACTGACTCAAATGTACGCCAGTGTATGATTCCTCTCTTAACAGGATTGTACACAGCGTATCCAGAACCGTTGTTGTAGTTCATCAGTGAGTAGAGGAAGGCTTTTGTTGAACCTGTATTACGGCAAGAACCTAGGAGAAAATAACATGCATTTTGCCTTCTTTAAAACCTTAATTCACAAGAGAAACGCCTGGCTTTTTCATCAAAATTCAACCCCTTGGAGTATTTAGTGATCTAGTTCAACATAGCGAGCCTGTGTACAGCCGCCCCCTCCCCTTGTTGTGGGGAGGAGGCGGAAATAATGGCAAAAACGTTTATCCTCTCTTGTGGCAAATCCCGTGGCAAGGGTCCAAGTGTCGCGTTGATGTCTCGCAAAGAAAATGCATACAATATTTGGCCAAAACCAACCTTAGAAACTGGACAAAATCATGCAAAATGATAGCATATCGGATCTATCGTTGGCTTTCACATGACGTCACTAAAATTCAAACTAAAAAACTATCAATCCTACCGAGATTTTACTTTCACGATGCATTAGAGTTGCTTAAAACTAATTTTCATACAAATTTTCGCTTCAAAAGGTTCTTGGTTTTGTGATAGAGTACGATTGAATTTCTAAGCTTTTGCGTGACGCGGCATTTACATGACGGCCAAGAGAGCTGTCTTGTAGGTTAAAAAAATGACTTATTTCAGAAACTTTTGCTATCTAAACAGTTCATGTACTGGAAAAAGGATTACTTTAATGTTTATGAGTTTCTAGAAGAATAAATTCACGTTTTTGTAGCAAAACTCGGTAACAGATGTTTCTGTTGGTTTCCGTCCGCCATGTTGGAGTTCATCCAGGTGATCACCAGCATGGCGTCTCCATACAAATCTCTATAAGTTTGGGTAAAACATTTCTTCGGATATCTCGTATACGAAATATTCCTCTGACCTGAATCTTGGCGAGGGTCTTTGTATATGTACCTCCTATCATTTCCCAGATTCTGGACTTTATCCATTGAACGGTTTTGATTTTTATTTTGATCTATTTTGAATGGCGTAACACTGAAAACCAGCAATAAAATAGATCTACGGCCCCAAAACACTAACTACAAATTAAAAAGGACCACAAACAAGTATGCCGCAAAACTTAGGATCTAAAGAAGACCCGGGCCACATTGGTGGAAGGGTAGTGCGCATGCTCTAAGCTTTGAGCCCCACCGGCTACCTCGTTTCCAGGGTTCTCCCTCCTTTCTCGAGGGCGGAAGAGACAGAAAGCTGGGAACGAGGTTGCCCCACCCGCTCATGTTCGCAAGGGTGCTTTTGCACAGTAAAATTGCTCATGAATGTTCTAAATGGACCTTCATTGGCGTTATATTTTTCGTTCACCGTGATCGATATAAATTTTTAAGCAGCATTCAACATTCAGAAAAATAAGGCCGGGACCACCTAACCGTAAATTGGTCGCCTAATGAATTCACCATACAGGGGTGATATCCTTTATTCCTGCGATTTGGCCCTTCTGTGGGTTTTTTGTAAAGAGAGAGAACGAATTAAAACCTCGCAAAGATTTCTTCACTTCTTGCGATTTCATTTGCAATGAACATTAAATTCGAGTAAAATCCAAAACTTAGAAAAAATATTCTGCATGAAACGCGTGTTATTAAGGTTTTTAGAAAAGTTCCAAAAGTACTCGTTTGTTATTAGACTTTGAACGGTAAAGATGTTAATCTAGTTACCTTTTAAGTACTTTCCTTGATTTTTGAGAATATAATTTCACGTATGTCGTCTTAAATTCAAGAAATCCGTCGTCGCTAGACTCAAGGAATTCTTAGAGTCGCAAACTTAGCCTACTTACCAAAGATATCATGCATTTAAATTAATCATAACTAGCGAACGTACATGGAACAAACAAACGAAAAAAATTTTTAGGACCGACAAATAAGTAGTAAATAAAATCAAAAAACACTGTTTAAAAGAAAATCCTGGAAAAATATATACAAGATAATTTTGCAGGTAGTCAATACCAGGCTTCGGATGTTAGCAAACATAAAAAAGAAACAGTCCTAATTTTCCTGGTTCATGTACTTACTGAAGTTTTTCCATGATACATCACTGTATCCACCAAATATGAAACTGCCGACTTGAATGATAGTAACAGTGGGTCCCTTGTCATCACAGTTGCCGTGGAAAGTAGACGCCGCCCATCCGTCCTGTTTAGCGTGCCAACACCTCACAAACCTACTACGGACTGAGCTATTGACCACTGGCTTCAAAAATGAAGTTAGATTCTCTAAGTACCTGCTGTCATTGCGAAGAATAGTTGATCCATTTAAGTAAGCTAAAGGAAAATAGTGAAATAAAGTAATTTCTTAAGAAACTGCGGTGTCGCGTCGGTAGGGGAGTGAAATAACTTAAGTTTCATCAACTGAGTCGATAGTTTGGCCAAAGTAGGGGGATTGAGAAGCTGACGTTCCTAGAGCTAGCCCTTTGCTAGAACGAATTGCTCTGACAAAAGGCTAAAGGTCCAATCGAGCTCGTTAAATCGCAGCTAAAACGCTCCTTTGCCCCAATGTTTCTATGTATATAGATATATATATTTATAATATAGTTGCTTACGTAAGCATTTGTAGGATCCATAAGTGTTATCACAGTAGGTATTAACGTGACAGTCATGCAAGTTGTCCGCACATTCATCGATATCTGTAAAATACAAGGAAGAGGAAACAATTACTTGCCCCGAAAATTAGCCTGCGGGGAGACTCCGGCTATGTGTGAGTTCGGGGAAAATTTTGGCGGCGGAACCGAACTTGCACAAGTCAGTCTGTTCGCTGGCTATCCAAAAATAGGCCTTCTACGCTAACAGAAGGAAACTCTTTTCTTCTTTAATAATGAAGTTACACAATCTTATTTCATCTATATTTTTCGCCAGATATGGCAGGGGCGCCATAACAGCTTGTAACAATTACTGTGAGCCTGAAAATATCCCTGCCCTAACAACACATGAGAGATAATGTGAGTATTGAGCGTCCCTTCTTAATTAAGATGAAAGGAGTCAGGGTCCCGGGAGTGGGGGGGGGAGCCATGTCCAGCCCTGGCCATGAAATCCAGAGTTTCTTCACTTCTTACTTAGTTCTACACTTCCCAGGGGTGTGGAAGCGTGGAGTAGTCCGACAAAGTAAGGATATTGTCGCACTTTCCCCCAGTCATGAACCCTTTTGTCATTCTTTACTTAGTTCCACACTTCCCAGAGGTCTGGAAGTGTGGAAAAGTCCGACAAAGTAAGGATATTGTCGCACTTTCCCGCAGTCATGAACCCTTTGTCATTCTTTACTTAGTTCTACACTTCCCAGAGGTGTGGAAGTGTGGAAAAGTCCGACAAAGTAAGGATATTGTCGCACTTTCCCCCAGTCATGAACCCTTTGTCATTCTTTACTTAGTTCCACACTTCTCAGAGGTGTGGAAGTGTGGAAAAGTCCGACAAAGTAAGGATATTGTCGCACTTTTCCCCCAGTCATGAACCCTTTGTCATTCTTTACTTAGTTCTACACTTCCCAGAGGTGTGGAAGTGTGGAAAAGTCCGACAAAGTAAGGATATTGTCGCACTTTCCCCCAGTCATGAACCCTTTGTCATTCTTTACTTAGTTCCACACTTCTCAGAGGTCTGGAAGTGTGGAAAAGTCCGACAAAGTAAGGATATTGTCACACTTTTCCCCCTGTTAAGAACCCCTTGTCATTCTTTACTTAGTTCCACACTTCCCAGAGGTGTGGAAGTGTGGAAAAGTCTGACAAAGTAAGGATATTGTCGCACCTTCCCGCAGTCATGAACCCTTTGTCATTCTTTACTTAGTTCCACACTTCTCAGAGGTCTGGAAGTGTGGAATAGTGTGACAAACTAGGGATATTGCCGCACTTTTCCCCCAGTCATGAACCCTTTGTCATTTTTTACTTAGTTCCACACTTCTCAGAGGTCTGGAAGTGTGGAATAGTGTGACAAACTAGGGATATTGCCGCACTTTTCCCCCAGTCATGAACCCCTTGTAATTATTTACTTTGTTTCACACTTCTCAGAGGTCTGGAAGTGTGGAAAAGTCTGACAAAGTAAGGATATTGTCGCACTTTTCCCCCTGTTAAGAACCCCTTGTCATTCTTTACTTAGTTCTACACTTCCCAGAGGTCTGGAAGTGTGGAATAGTGTGACAAACTAAGGATACTGCCGCACTTTTCCCCCAGTCATGAACCCCTTGTCATTCTTTACCTTGTTCCACACTTCTCAGAGGTGTGGAACTGTGGAATAGTCTGACAAAGTAAGGATATTGTCGCACTTTTCCCCCTGTTAAGAACCCCTTGTCATTCTTTACTTAGTTCCACACTTCTCGGAGGTGTGGAAGGGTAGAATAGTCTGACAAGTTGAGTGTAATGTCACACTTTCCCTGAGTCACGAGAAGCTCAGTGCGCTTTATGAGCACTTGGTTTTATTTCTGTATGGTTTTTTTACATTTTTCCTTAAGAACTATTTTTATTTTGAATAGCAGATATAACCATTGTTTCAATGCCAGCTGTTGAAAGAAACTTAAAGTTAAGAAATCCGATCTCCAACCAAGCTTTCTTCTTTATCAGTACGGGTTCAAATTTGATAATTGTTAGATCACGCCATATATCCACTGTTTCGCAGTTTTTCTTCTTCTCTAAGGTTATGTAAATGCTGGACATAAATTATGAAAAAGAAGCAACACCACGCTCGGAGGCGAGCGGCTCGAGGCCAAGAAACCTCGAAAAAGAATTCACCTTAGGGTGACTCTCTAAAGACGAAGAGGAGGGTGGACCATGCAAATAGTTTAGTACTGTCACGTGCCGTAGAGATAACATAAATATTGCCGACCCTATAACACGCACCTAAACAGTGATCCCCCTTTTCCACAGAGAGATCTGCAGGTAGCTACTCTAGGCCGATAAGTCACAATTATTACTTTATACAGAATGCTGTATATTTTTAGACCAATTTAGGTCATGAACCTGATGAAGGAATAGAACAATAACAATTGATTTGAGCACTTATAAACTTTATCAAGTTGATCTTAAAGCGAGGAAGATAGAACGCACATACTCTGCATTCTTTACTGCCTATTTTTAGTGTTGTCACGATCTTAAGAGACCTGACTGCTGTACCCAATTGAAAGCTCCTGGGGTTCAGATTCTTTGTGTATTGTATTTGCGTTATAATGTGCCATTCACATTTAAATGATACGGAAATTCCTAAAACAAAACGTTTTATACCCAAAGGGTTTGAATTGGGTACGACATTGAGTCAGCCGAATAGATCTATAGGAAGGAGAAAAACCCAGAATAAGACGTCTCATATATGGCACATTAAGATGAAAAATTTCAAACATAAAAATCCATAGATGAGATGACGTTGTTGAGGTTTCCGTTGAAAAATAAATAAATAAATAAACGAAGATAAAGGACTGACGGAGACTGAACGTGACAGAAAAAACGTAGGCTTGTTTTATGGTCGGGTATTCAAACAGATGGCAGTGAAACAAGGCTAATATCTTCTAGTCATAGAATTGTTGTCTAAACTTGAAATAGCATTTAAAAATACGTAAAACGAGTTGCAGGAATAAAACCAACAAATACTCCCACTGCGCTTTATTCTCATTTCATACTTAGGAGTGTAACTAAGGAAAGAATGTCAAGGGATTCGTGACTGGGGGAAAGTGCGACAATATCCTGACTCTGTCAGACTATTTTATACTTCCACACCTCTGAGAAGTGTAGAACTAAGTAAAGAATGACAGTGGGTTCATAGGACCAGGGGGAAAGTGTGACATTATCCTGACTTTGTCAGACT